TTTTTTTTTTTTTCTAATTTCCAATAAAATGAAATATCAAAAATATAATGAATTCTATAAATAATTTCTTACCTTGGAACACATGTAATGCTCGTTGTTTAAGTTTGAACAATTGCGAAGTATCAAAGGGAGCAATTTGAGATGTTTCCTTTAATCGTTCGTAAGTTGTGGAAAGACACTCGCAAATCTGAAAAAAAGAAAAAAAAAAAAAAAATAAATAAAGAAAGGAAGAAAGAGAGACAATTAAAAATAAAAATAAAAATAAAAGAAAAGGAAAAAAAAACAGCCGTTGTTCTAAGTTAAGCTTTTAAATTTATTGCGAATCAATCAATCGTCGTCGAATGTGATTCGTGATCTTAAAACACGACGTTTACCTCGTCGATGGTGTAAGCTTCTTCATGGAGATCTTCCATCACAACGGAGACCATTTCTTTCAAACTAAAACCGAGACGTTCTTGTACGTCGATTAATCTCTTCACACTTTCCCAATTTTGATTTCTTTTTTTGGCTATTATCTGCAACAAGATTAAAATAAATCATAAAGAATTTGTCAAAGTTACAAAATCAATCCTGTTTCCATTTGTCTTAAAATTATTAATCTCGTATCTTATATATATAACAAAAAAAAAATATATATATATATATCTGCCTGAATCGAAAAGTTTTTTGAGTCTTAACAAAAAATTTAATAATAAAAAATATGAATTTGATTTTGAATTACGAATTATTTCAACCTAAAATTATTAGAATTAATGCAAAGTCACTATATATGTATCGATTATATAAAACATAATAATAATTCTTGCATTACGTATATCAGAAAGCTCGCGAGATTGAGAACTGGGTAGTCTTATATAATAGTGATTAAATCGATGGAAATGATATTACTAATAAGTTAGATAAAAAAAAAAAAAAGTATAAAGCAATAAAAGAGAATTGTTATAATAAAAATAGAGATTAAAAAAAAAAACGATAAAAAAGAAGAAGAAGATTTCTTTCGTTGAATAGTGGAAAAAAAATGAAGTTGGGTGAAAAAAAGTAATCAAGATAATAAGAAATAAATAAAAGATACAGATAAAGAAGATATTATAATCTTTTTTTTTTGTTTTTTTTTTGTTTTTATATTATATATAATATAATGAAACAAAGAGAAAAGAATTTTTAAACAATACCTGAGCAGCCAAGCGACATTCTGCTACTCTTAGATTAAAATCAACGGTCGATGCTTTGTTGTGGTAAGCTTGGCTATGCGCTATCACGAAAACAGCATTTTCAGGTAACGTAACAGCGGTTGCACGTAAAGGATTAAATTCTATCAACATGGCAGCACCTATGATAAATTATTCATTATTATTTACTTATAATATATTCAATATTTATCATTTTTATAAGTATGTTAACTGTTACCTGTTTTTCCTAAAAATGCAATTGCTTGATCCATCCCACCACCTTGCGTTCCGATATATCTTTCAGCTCTTGCACTGATCGTTGCTAAATCTCGCCTTGACAATTGATACTGTAATATTTTTTATTTATATTTTAGTTGACAAATAATTCGTTTTTTTTTTTTTGTTCAATACGTTCGCCTAAAAAGTTTTTATTCGAATCTATTTGGAAAAAAGATATTTCGTTAACTAATAATCGGATTCTATTTTTAAATAAATATATTTTTCTTTTTTTTTGATTCATTAGATTTTTAATCAATATGTTCTCAGTATATTTTTTTTGCTACTTCATTTTTGGCGTGTCAAATAATTCTTATTAAAAATGCAACGAAGAGATAGGATTATATATAATTTTTGCAAATGTTCAAATCATTCCGAGAATTTTTACAAGTTGATAACATTTAATAAAGTCGAATTAATAATATATAAAATATATATATATATAATCACTGTAGGATTTTTTGATTTAATGTTAGATGTTATAAAGAACATTAAGGATTAAAAAATGTATTATATAGATCTTGATGTTGCATTCGAAGAACGCAAGGAATTATAATAGATTAAGGTACTTTTAAAAGCTTACGAGATACCAAAACAAATTTGGTATCTTTCTTTCTTTTCTTTTTCTATCCTTTTATTTCTTTTAATTGTTTCTTTGTGTCTGCTATCATCTAAGGAAGTTCGTAGAATTTATTTGTCAAAGCTTTTGCTCGATAAAATGAAAAGAAACGAACGAACAAACAAACAAACAAGGAAAAGAAAAGAAAAGAAAATAAAAGTAAGGCAATTAAAAAAAGGCAAGAGGAAATTATTATACTCGCGGAAACGCAATACTTTTTAAACGAATATCGATAATCGAACTTTAAATTTGTCGACTAAAAACTTTTCTATCTCTCCAATTTTTATTTATTTATTTTATTTCTTATTTTTCTATATTTCTTTTCTTATTATCTCAGTGTTCAATATAAATTAGTACGAAAATCCTTTCGAAACAAAACCAGACACGTTTCACTTTTTAGATTTGTACGATGCGACTTATCGTTTAAATAATTTGTACGGTGAAACAAAAAATGAAATTAAATTAAATTAAACAAAAAAGAATAAAAAAAAGAACAAAACAAATCCTGCGCGAAGGTTCGATGATGAAAGTTCTTGTTCAGTTCTTTTTTTTTTCTTTTTTCTTTTTATAAACGATTAATGGAAAACGAAAGAAAAAATAGGGGCTGGAGTTAAATGGCACTTGAAAATTTTGTTCAACATCTGAGACGGATAAAATCATTTTCCCGGGTTACTTTTCTCTACTCGTTTAAAAGAAAAAGAAGTAGAAGAAGAAGATGAAGAAGAAAAAATAGTTTTCTATCTGTCGTTGAATTTTGATCGATAACGCGGAACGAACGAGTTAAAGCACAAGTAGTTTATTCCTCGACATCGTATTTTTCGTTTAAGAATCAAACTCTGCTAGTAGAAGATTACGCGTTAAACTTGTTTAATCTCAATTTTTTTTTAATTATTTATCGTTTTTTTTAAATTTTTTTTTTTCACCTTTCGTTACGAACGAAATTAGTTAAACTCGAAAAGTTTGAAAATGTGAAAGGGAAATTAAATAATATATANTAACATTTATTTAATTTTTAACAATAAAAATAAATATATTTTCCCAAGGCCAAATATATATATATATATATATATATATATATGTGTGTGTGTGTGTCGAGAAAAATGAAAAATGTATCCAAAGGAAAATAAAACGTATCAACGAATCCTACACGTTCGAATAAAATTCATCTTTCATTTATCATGCGCGTCGCATTCTTCTATCCACGTTTTTCTAACAATAATAAGATGGATCGAAGATAGAGAAAACAGTCGATCGTTTGTAAACTCATTCGGGAATAAGAGTTTTTCTATATACAAGTTCCGGGGTGTGACCCAGACTTGTCAATAGACATCTATTAGTGGTCTAATGGATGTTAGTATTGTTTGAGGTATCCATAGGGGAGAATACTTATGGGGTTGCTCAGCTAAGGGAACTAGACTTTTATTTCTTTTTCCTTTTTTTTTTTTTTTTGTTTCTTTTCAAAGTATCGCATAGACACATAAACACACTCACCACATATACACACATTTAAATAAAAATCTAAAGATGTATGATACTTAATAGATAATACATACCCCAATATATATATATATATATATTTTTATCTTATACATGAATAATTTATTTGATTTCTAACAATAAGTATAAAGACAAGCAAGATGATCGAGATGAAAGCTAAAGCTCGAGCTTTCTTAGAACGTATATTCTTGTCTTACGATAAAAGCTCTCTCACTCTACCTTTGAAAGCTTAACTTATGCATTTATATACATATACATATACATATATATATATAGAGAAGATTATACTTACCCAGCTCCCGTAAGTCTAGCACCGAGTGCTCCACAATTCATGGCCTTGTCGACGAGTGCATCGACACGTGGATGGCTACATTCGTAGAGCTTGCAAAGACTAAGATGACTTTTCGACATCAATTCGCCTAATAACTGAACTTTGACATCTTCCATTAACGTGTCATCATTGTTTATACGTTGAAATTCGGTAACTCTGTACGCCTCTGTAAATACATTTATACAATCAATGTCAATTAACAATCGAATTTATTTATTTAACGATTATTTCAACGCGAATATTACATTAAAATAATAATTTCAAATACAGTGTTTGTGGTAAAAGAAAAAAAAATATAGGAAAGAAAGGAAAAACAAGGGTGAAATAACGAACGCGTAATAATTTTAATGGTATAATAATTGGTGGTGTTGGAAATAAAAATAGAAAACAAAGAACGACCGATTTTCTCAACGTTTTCTTCTCGATAACTTGGTAAAGGTATCAAAAGATATAAAGTAAAGAGAATGGGAATCTTCTTTAGAGGATTTCTTCTATCTCTCGTCTTTTGCTTTTCGTTACGTCTCCAGGGCAATAAATTTCATGAAGGTGTGATGCTCTAAGGATGGCAAGACCTGAACTATGTATGTGTGTCAGACGCAATCGATACGTCGTCGTTCGTGAAAATTTATAGGATTCGTATGGGGGCGGGGGCGGGGGCGGTGGGTAGAATGCATGCTGGTGTTTGATTGATAAGCAATACCTTCCTTTTTCTTCTTTGAACAATTTGGGTACTTTAGTTTTTTTTTGTTTTGTTTTATAAATATTCTTATTTCATGTTCAATTTAATTTCACGTCGGTGAGATATTTGAAATAATGTGTCCTTGGAATACACACGTGTAACGCTAATTGTCTAATAAGTTTGAATATTCTTTGAAATATTAATCTTGTATGTATAATTGATGCGAATCGTTATAATGAAAATTAATTGGATATTGTAAAACAAAATACGTGGAATTATGTTTTTAATTTATAATTGATATCGCGTTTATATTTTCACATTAATCGATATAAGATTTTATATTTAATCTTTTCAATAGAGACGTGTAGAGTATGAATAATTTTCACTTTCGAATAATCTCACAACTTGGAATGCATGCAAAAGCTCGTTATCTAAGTTGGAATATCTGCGAAGTATTAATCCCGAAGCAATCGATATGTTCGCTGTCACGAAAATTAATAGGATTTGCAAAGTAGTACGTGGAAGTGCTTGAATTTATTACAAATAACCTTATATGCTCGTTAAAAAATTTCTTTTTACAGTTCGACGTATGGAAATGTTGCCGCTACTTTTTAATTTTATTCTTTTTTTTTTTTTTCTAATTTCCAATAAAATGAAATATCAAAAA